TCCCCCCGTCCCCGGCGCCGCTCGGGTCCCAGCCCTCACAGAAGCTTTGAGAGTGGGGGAAGGCAAGAAGCTCACTGTCTATACAGACAGCAGATATGCATTTGGAGTAGTGCATGACTACATGGACGTGTGGTCACGCAGAGGTTTTATAACAACAACTGGCAAGCCAATTAATAATATGGAAGCAGTTCAAGGACTAACAGAAGCTGCCAAACTACTATCAAGACTAGCAGTAGTAAAGATGAAAGCACACAATAAAATCTCAAGTGAGGAACAAAAAGGAAATTTTTGGGCAGATAAACGTGCCAAAGAAATTGCACAAGCAAGTCCTATTAAGGTTTCTGCAGCTAGAGTGCCAGAAGAGGAAGTGAATTTAAAAAAGCTATATGCAACCATAAGCCCAGAATAGAAAAGTAAATTGGAAAAACAAGGCTGTGTGTATAAAAATCACCTCTGGTATGGGCCGGGGGGGAGGAGCTGGTAGCCCCGGAGTGCATACGGGCTCTACTGCTCCATGCCATCCACTCTCCAGCTCATCTGGGGTGGAGACAAATGAGGGCCGCCCTGGAATACTGGTGGTGGCCAGCCATGAAAAAAAGGCTTTACAATTTCTCAAAAGATGTGTAACGTGCACAAGTGAATGTGGATAGAAGGAAAAAGGTGCCTCTGAATCACCAACCACAACCAGAGGGACCGTGGCAAAATTTGCAACTTGATTTTACTGGATCCTTGCCACAAAGCAGAGGGTACACTTACATTTTGGTAATTATTGACACTTTTACCCGATGGGTAGAGACATTCCCAACCAAGAACTGTACTGCCACTGTCAACAGACTCTGACCAAGGAACTCACTTTACAGGGCGAGTAATGAAGGAGGCATGCAAGGCACTGGGAATAAAACAAAGATTCCATATACTATACCACCCTGAAAGTTCGGGAATGGTGGAAAGAATGAATAGAACAATGAAAACAGCCTTAACAAAAGCAGTACTGGATACAGGAAAAGGATGCGCTCGCATGCTTCCCTATACTGTATCCAATCAAAGGCAGCCCAAATAGGCTGACTCAACTGACACCCTTTGAGCATGACGGTCCCCCGAAGGTCAACGCTGACTGTTGATGGGACGCGGCTCCACCGTACTCCGCCAATGATGGGTAACCTAACGTGGGATCTGGAATGGCACTACGGCAGTAAGTATCTAGAGGAGGGTCTACAGGCCCTGCAGACGAAGATCGAGGAGTTGGTGGCCGAGGCCCAGAGGCATATTGGGGACGGCCGTCTGAGGTACACTCAGATAGGGGAAACCGTGGACCAGGCCGATGTGAAGTACTCGAAGGCGCGGAACTAGGCAATGAAGATTAAAGCAATAATTATGGGCAATGCGATCTCAGGTAATAAGGTCCCCTGGGGATGAATCTGGGTGCTATTTTGTCAAGTTATGTGGGGAGTGTCTATCCTGACATTCCTGATGGTACTGGTGCTTTACCAGCGACTCCGCAGTAGGCTCGGTACATTAAAATTAGTATATTTGAGCTGGCGGGTTAGGGAACCCTAGGGTCAAGAGGAGGGACTGAAGGGTTAAAATCCATGTGCATTTTATATAAACAACCTGGTATATGGATTTTGCCAGCTCTTTTCCAGACCCAAAGTCCAGAGTATGGTCAAGGGACCAAAGGCCTAGCAAATAGCTAAGAGAAGCAGAATAAACAAAAGATAACTTTGCTTTGTCAAAATAAGCCTAGTCAGCAAATTGCCAGATGTTAGAGCTGAGAACTAAATAATTGTGTCTTATTCAGAGTTGCAGATTGAACAAAGAAGCCCTGTTTCGGTTGTTAGTTTCTTCTGTAGGGAGACGTTCTTCTCTACAGACCTTGAGTTTATGAAAGGATGGCACATATCAGTATAAGATATGGCCTCCTCCCACCTCCCTTTCCCAGGGACCAATGCCTGCCTTAAAACACACAGGAGACAATCTTTATTGCCATATACTGTCACTGTTTCTTTGTTTTAACCCCTCGGAATGTATCTGCTGGACAATCAGAGGAACTACTCCATTCCTATGTACCCCAAATCAGAATTCAACATATATATTTTATCCTAATAACATTTGATCAAAGTATTAATTAAATTAAGTTCTTCTTCACACAGCGCACAGTCAACTTGTGGAACTCCTTACCTGAGGAGGTTGTGAAGGCTAGGACTATAACAGCGTTTAAAAGAGAACTGGATAAATTCATGGTGGTTAAGTCCATTAATGGCTATTAGCCAGGATGGGTAAGGAATGGTGTCCCTAGCTTCTGTCTGTCAGAGGATGGAGACTGGATGGCAGGAGAGAGATCACTTGATCATTGCCTGTTGGTCCACTCCCTCTGGGGTACCTGGCATTGGCCACTGTCGGTAGACAGGATACTGGGCTAGATGGACCTTTGGTCTGACCCGGTACGGCCGTTCTTATGTTCTTATGTAACTAACAAAAGTTGATTAAGTTGCATCCCACAGACTAAAGCCACCAGAAAATATCACACCCTGAAGACACCGGTTGATATCAGTATAGAGTGAAGAAACCCCCAAAGCATCAAAAAAAGAAAAATGATGTGCTTTATAAATAAGAGACTGGTGAAACACACCTCTATCTACCATATATGGACAATTAAGTTAACAATCAGCTAAAAACCACTAGCTGGACCAGGATAAACCGTCATTTAATTTCAACTTGGTTACTGTTTAAAAACAACTGTATTATTGCTGTATTGTATTATTGCTGTACAACATTTACAATGTGCATAACCTTGCTAAACTGTTTAACCAACACACAGGTAAAAATTAACAAACAAATGGCAGCAAACAACGTGAAGGCAAGGAAAAAACAAAGTGGTAAACAAAGTTACACAGTAACTACAAATTGGGTAAACAAATTGCCTGTTAGCACCAGTCATACTTTGGGTCAGTGACACTGCATCCTAACTGAGGCAGCACATGTTATTCAAAACAAACAATCGTGTTCAGTGTCTGGGTACCAACACTACATCCTGACACAGCACTATTCGATACATTGGTTACTGTCCATTCAGTAGGTTATCTGGAAGACAGCATCCATAAGAAACAACTGGATCTACGCCAGCTACTGGTGTATCGCAGAGCAGTTCAACCAATGGAACAGAGAAGCTAGCCACTTCTGTTTCCTGCCCAATGAAGCTTACCAGAGGGTGACAGCCAGCAGTAGGGGTAATTTATAACATGGATGGGCAGTACTGTGTAGTAACTAATCACAATATATTTATATATAAAAGGCCTCAGTGGTAGTGTCACTACTACAAATTTCTGTTTTACTTCTCACATATATAGCATTGTGGGGCACATTATCACAATCCCTATCCCAGTATTTCAAAACACTCAGCCTACTACTACTAATTATACAGATGGTAACTGTAATTGCCCTAATAAAAGTGAGTTGCTACCTACAGTACCACAAGGGCCAAACTACAACACCAGATTGGAAAAGAATTGTTATGCTTGGATATAAAGTGTTGTTATATGTTGTGACAAAGTTCCTCCTCTATCTTGGTGGGTCCTGCGCTTATTGGCGGATTTTCTTGCCTCAGAGATTCACCATGTGGGTTGGGGAACAGCCCAGAGAACTTCCCCTCTGGAAAAACCCACAGTCCAGGTCAATTGGGAGGTTTGGGGGGAACCCGGGCCCGCCCTCTACTCCGGGTTCCAGTCCAGGGCCCTGTGGACTGCAGCTGTCTATAGTGCCTCCTGTAACTGCTGCATGACAGCTACAACTCCCTGGGCTACTTCCCCATGGCCTCCTCCAAACACCTTCCTTATTCTCACCACAGGACCTTCCTCCTGGTGTCTGATAACGCTTGTGCTCCTCAGTCCTCCAGCAGCACACCCT